TGTAAGAGCTAGGTATTTGGTATCCATGAAGTGTTTTGTGTTTTAACTCAGTCAGAAGTGACTGTGTCAGTCTAAAGAGGTAAGAGGATTCATCAGAGACTGCATGGGGAGTAGAACAGGCAAACTGACTGAAATACACTGCTGAGGGGAGCAGCGGGCAGGTCAGGAGAGGTCTGCTGCGCCATGTGGTCACCTCCAGGGCAGGGATTGAACTCATGCTAAGTGGCTTTAGCTTTTTAGTGCTGTGCTTTACCCCTCGTGCCACCAGGGAGGGCCCTAGTTACCATTTTGATCCATCTTAAGCTTGGTGGTCTCCTTATGTCTGTTAAGTTTTTAGTGTGAGTAATTAATGAATTTCATCATGAATCACATTGTCTTTTATTTGTTGTTAATAAATTTCTGATTGATCCCAAATTTGAGTATTGATTATAATACCAGAAAAATATCTGTTATTGCTATTTTAAAGTTGATTTTTCTTTTCATGTCAGGAAATATTTTTGCACTTACACTCTAGAGGGGCTAGATTGAAATTTTCTTTCTTACTGAGTTATCCTATGGAAACCAGTGGGATTTAATTATATGAAACATTGACCCAGTATTTACTTCCTTCCCATTGCTTCCTGTTTCCACACAAGTAATGCTGCTTCAGTTCCCTGTCACCCCCCACTCCCAACCCTTCCCCAGAATCCTGGAGTGTTTCTTGGCTCTGCTCCTCCCTCATGTCCACTCCTGGAGTCTCTGACTGAACAAATCATACCTCAGAGTCCCTCCATTGCCCAGCTGAGACCCAGGATACAGTATCTTTTTCCTGGTTTCCTCAAAAATAGCCACCGCTATCTATTTTTCTCCAACTCTTTCTATACCCTCAGCCAGAGTGATGGCTGCCTGTCAGCTCCTTTGCACCCCTGCATCCTAGCCACACCAAATCCTTTTTCCTCTGTCCTTCTCAGCCTAGTCTCTTTTATTCCAATGCCTTTGAATATGCTGCTCCCTCAGCCTGCAATGCTTGCTTCCCCATCCTAGTCCTCCCTGGGGTGCAGGCCAGAGGGGCAGGGGGTGAGAGGATTCACAGGGTCAGAGTGGGGAGAAGAACAGGCAGATGAACTGAAGTATTCAGAGAGAGAGAGTGGGGAGCAGCAGGGAAACAGGAGAGATCTGCTGTGCCAGGTGGGTCACCTCCCTGGCTGGGGTATCGAACTCGTGCTGCAGTGGCTGTGGACAGCTTCATAGTACTGCGCTTTAATCCCTTGTGCCACCAGGGAGGGCTCTTGGTCATCAGTTCTTACCTTCACTGTACCTCCCTCCAGGAAGACAGCCTTGGCCCAGTACTAGGTGAAGCACTTCTGTTTGCCCTTCATCCAGTGTCTCTCCCTCCAGGTGCAAATCCTGCTTTCCTAACAGATTGCATACCTCTTCATTTTATGATAAGCTGTGTGAGGGCAGGGCCAGGCCTGTCTTCCTCATTAGCAATTTCCAGAACCTAAGAGGGTATTGAGACAGTGGTGGGCACCTTTCTCTTTTACATGAATTCCCCTATTTTAGTTTCCTCCTGCTTTATTCTCTCGGATCCTGAGTATCATTTAAATGATTTCTAAAATCAAACTTTAAAGCCCCCAAATGAATGATTTCACCTTACTGTAAGAGCTAGGTATTTGGTATCCATGAAGTGTTTTGTGTTTTAACTCAGTCAGAAGTGACTGTGTCAGTCTAAAGAGGTAAGAGGATTCATCAAAATAGTGAACAGCCCAGCTGATGGCATTTGGCAACCAAACTTGTGAACGGGAATAAGTTACCAGAACAAATCAACACTCAGACTTCTGGAAAAAAAAAAAACCCTGTTGTTTTATTATTATTTAGAAAGCACACACAGCAATTTATTGGGCAAGAGAGGAAAGGAAAAATAAGTGAGCATACAAATTCATTTCAAAAGAATTGGCGCCAATGTGCAAGCTATATCTCTCTCTGTGAGCTTTTGAAGCTTCTGTGTTTCTTATATCTGTATACATAATCAGAGTTATGTATATAGACATATGGAAACATGCAGCCCACTTGCTAGAAATCCTTTCTCCAGAAACCTGGAGCAACATATGCTCTCGCTTCCTGAAAGCTTCTGACGGTGTTCTCTCAGCTCACGCCACTGTCTCTTTCCTCTGAGTTCGTCTCTGATGACAAGTAAGGATACTTGTGAAGGAAGATTTCCCCTTAGTTCTTGACTTTTTCTTTAGCTTTTTCTGATTTTTGAGTGAGATCCCCAGTTCTTCCATGATGGCATTGAAAGAGAGACACTAGAGGACATGAAATAACAATGTCAGTTTTGACCATACTCTCTTCATTCTCCACTGAGCTGTATCTTGCCTAGATTTTTATGAATACAAGAAATAGGTGTCAGGCCACTCTGCCATGAGATAAATTCTCCATCAGTTCCCAACCTCCTCCTCCACCCGCGGGCCACCCGCCTTTTCTACTAGGGGACATCGGGACAGCAAGTTAGCTGGGCAAACTTTTAGGGTTTCATTCACAATGGCAGTAGTAGAAAATGACCCAGTTAAGAAAACCTCAAGGCTGTCAAAGTAGACAACTTACCTTTGCTGAGACACCAAAACAGAGTTAAATTAAGTCATTTCCCCCATTGAGATGTTCCAAACATTGATAGGTTTATCAAGGCATACGACACTTCAGTAATGCTATAGAAAATGAACAAACCTTCTCTACACCAAGGCTTTGTTTTTTTCTCCCATGAAACCTTACTTTGTTCCTAAAATAAAATCTAATTCTTGATGACTTTCCTTTCTGATAAAAAAAAGAAAAAAAAACAATTTTAAATTGTATATTTTCTCCAAAAAACAGAGATCTGGCAGCAGCAATGATGCAGCTGTGGTTGAAATGAAAATAACATGGTACTGAACTGCACAGTGAGGACAATGGCATAGTGCAAAAAGAAAATGGAGTTGAGGTTATAAAATGGGATACATATGCAGATGGCTTATATATGTAGACTTATCTATGACAATTTCAGTGTATCTACTCACATGCACAGTATATAAATGATATAAGAACACAGTTTGCTGTCATTTCTTCCAGCCAAGAGAGGATCTTCAGATAATAAATTTCTGCTGATAGGGATTTTGATAAAATAGTATTGTTTTAGATGAGATTACTCTTAAAATATCCTCTAAAAACCCAAAGTCTTTGGTGAAGTGTCTGGAAGTTCAAATATTACTTAGGTATAGTGAATTGACAAAACGCACGTGGTTGAAAACCATATTGCTACCTGCCACTAACTGATGTCTTGAAGGTTGTGAGAACCACACAGGGGTGTCCTGGAGTTTCTGTGTCCAAAATACAAAATGTCTGGTGTCCTTGTGTCAACATGTAACTCGTATGTTTGAAAATGTGCACTTTGCTTTGCTTTGTTTCATGAAACCTGTCACTTACAGTATTCTGTCATTTTCCCACTTGATTTGAAACCAGAGGTATAAATTTAGATCCCCGATGTAAATGAGTGGCCTATCAAATCTAAACCTTTAAACAAGTTAGTTGTTTGAATATGACTTCTTGTACTTTTATGCCTGAGGGCTTACAGGATTTGAAATTCAATTCTATTTTCCTAGAGTACTCAAGGTGAAAATTCAGTCTATGCCTATTAATCGCTTTAAATGGCAAGTTGTGGTCAAGTTCAGTGACTTGAAAGGAACTGCCATGCCGTACAGAGAAGAAATGCAAAATTCTTTCTATGAAGCATACAGCAAAACATGTTACAGCATGAATGTTACAGTGAAATATGTGAGGTTTATGTGTTTCTAAGACCAAAAGGCATTTTATAGTGTCATCGTGTGGGATCATGTTCTAGGGTTTTGCAACCTTTGCTTAGAGATTTATTTCAGTGGAAGAAGTACTATTTTTACACAGGATATTCCTGGTTTTAGGAAGATTGTTAACCTGGAGTGAAGGGAGAGAAGGAAGGAAGAAATACCAAGAATTTTATAAACGCTATTATACATAAACTCACAGTAACCTTATAAGGAAGGAGTTATTATGTCCATTTTATAGACAGGGAAATTTACTACTGGCGCTATGAAGTAATTTTCCCAAGAAAAATGGCTCATAAGAAGAAAAGTTCTCATTTGAACTCAATCCATCTGACTCTCCTAACTTAATTGCTTTCAATTGAACTCTTCTATGCTTGATTTTTTTTTTACATTTTATTGAATCACTCCAAAGAGCTTTTTTTTGTGGATTCCCTTCCCGTAAAAATATATGTTAGGAAATTCCAATTGACCTTTAAAAGGGCAATTTCTGCTTTATTTTAACTCTCAAACATATGCTTTTAAAGCCAGTCTCCCAAGCGACGTTCGGGTTGGAGACACAACCCGGAAGTGACTTGCTGGAATCCTTCATGTCCATTTACGAGTGGAGATGGCATCATAGCTCTCGTTTCCACAGTATGTTTCCATTAAGTCTTTTAAAAAAAAAAAAAAAATCCCAACCCTCCTCCATAGTATATATTGCCGGAAAGTACAGAAACATTTCTATCCTCTCAATGATCCCCAAGTATGGGCGTGTCCTTACCAGTGCAGGAGTGAATATTGTGTTATCAGAGTCAGCTTTCTGACTTTGATCACACTGACTGTGATTTCTTTTCGATTCTCACTTTGTCTCCAACTGTCAGAAAGAAAATGGCAAGATATTGGGACTGACCTTTCTGTTTCCAAGTTTTAGCTGCCGTCACAAGGAAAGATGACCTTTTAAGGTCCCTTTGAGCTGCAAGCTCAGGTAACCCCCACAGCTTCACCGTCACAGGAAATAAAACTGTGAAGGTCACTCTCAGTACAGAGTGGCAAGGAGGAGCACGTATTCATTCATCAATTTGCTGTTATAATCTCAGAATGAAGGACACATATACTATAAAATATGAACTTTTGAATTCAGATAAAATTAGAGTCATTTTCTAAACCTTCTATTTCTGGGTTTGGTTTTCATCAGCTCCCTCATGTTCTCAGAGCCATAGAAATATGACATTTAAGCATGAAGGTTTCAATTCCTAAACTCTAATTTCTGCAGAAACTATCAGACATCATGATGTCTACTTTGCTGCTTGCTGTAGAGACAAGAAAATTAGATGAATGACCCTCAGTCCTTTTTAGAAGGGAAAAATCCCCCGTCGCTTGGATGCCAGGTCCTTCCAACATGCAAGTAGTTCATGTTTTCAATAGATCTGCGCATGATCATTAATTACAGTGTGACAGTTTCCTGCTGTAGCATGCTGGAGTCACATTTCAGCTATGCTACCTAGTAGGTAGGTTACACCAGGCAAGGCATTTGTTTTCTCCTTCACTCAGCTTCATTATTTGTAAAGTGAGAACAATAAGTGTCCTTTTCATACAACTATTGAGAATAATTGAGTTGAGGAAGGTAAAGCATGCAGGGCAACGATTGACACTACTCTATTTCTTGAAAGTAAAATGTTAGACATCGCTGAAAATATTTTAAGTCTATGGCATTCACTGATGGAGAGATAGAGATGAGAGAGAGACAGAGTCAGAGAGGTGGGTGAATAGGGGGATGGGTGGGGAGGAGGAAGAATGAAAATGTTGATGCTACTTTAAGCCATTCTATGTCCTTTCTTGCACCAATTCCTTTGAATTGTTTAAGCAATGTTTGAATTCAAGTAGTAGTTCCATATATGCTTAAAGCATAGACTTTTCAATGCCTGTTATCATTGGTTTTACCCAGCCCACAGCATGCTTTCGTCTTTACGTCATACCTGGCATTATAGCAGCTTGTGTATTAATGACAGTATAGGTACTTAAAAGAAGGAGATGAAAACTAACTGCAGAGGCTTAAAACTAAACAAACAACAAAAAAAATCTTTGTGTCTAGGGATGACTGACAATGACTTCCTGTAATAAATTTGATAGAAAAAGTTATTTATAAGTGAATTTCTAGTAATAAACTATGGTAGTGATATTGCCATTTATGCTGATTCGGACACTATGCAGTGATAAAGTGTGTGTGTGTACAAGGAAGAGAGGAAGGGGGGGAAGAGAGAGAGGGAGGGAGAGAGACTTAAGCAGAAACAGAAATTATTCTGAGACCACACCTTCCATTAGAACTCTATTGGTTTTTTTTTTTTTTTTAAGATTTTTTTTTTTTAAAGATTTATTTATTTTTGCATACAGAACTGGGATACAGGCCAGAGACTCAGGGGCAGTGAGAGGCTTCACCAGAGACAGAGTGGGGATCAAAACAGGCAGATCGATGAAGTACACTGCTGAGGGGAGCAGCGGGTGGGTCAGGAGAGGTCTGCCACACCATGTGGTCACCTCCGGGGCAGGCGGGAATCGAACTCATGAGGAAGCGGCTTTAGATTCTCAGTGCTGTGCTTTAACCTGTTGCGCCACCAGGGAGGGCCCAGAACTCTATTGGTTTTAAAAGAAGAAGAATGTGTTTAATTTTGCAGAAAGTCCTTTCTCTCCTCCACTTTGTAGGTGCCTGTGGTATGTCCCTTGGGAGACAACTCCCTAAGTCTTTCTTGCTCTTTTCCTGCCATTCTTTGTTCTTTCTTACTTCCTCTTCGTGTGTTTCTGACTTGCTGACCACATGGGGCCTCCTATGGGTTTGATTTCTTGGTATTCATTTGAGCCTAAACATAAATTATTCTCTCCTGACACCTTTAAACTTATATTGCAAATTTTGCCCTGGAAGGGGTAGAAGGAGCTAATCAAGTTTCTCTTTTTTTTTTAACTAAAATAAACAGCTGCAGAAAAAGTAGTCTAGGTGGAGAGTCATTTTTTTAAGTTGTAGGAGTTAAATTATGTTTGAATTTCATTTGAATTTGCAATGTTGAAACAACTCAGGGTAGCTGCTGGGGATTAACTTTCACTGGTGCAAGCTTGGCATTGGATGGCAAGTATCAGAATGATTTCTCATTGTATATTTAACATTTATGCATTCAATAATTTTATTCATTGGTCCATTTAGGAGAACTACTTAGGAAGCATACCTTTCAGGGTTTTTATGACAAATTATTTTATAGAAATGCCGATCTTGCCAAGTATATAATCCAAATTTTGCATGTGTATAGGTTTCTCTCTTTTATTAGGATCCTTATTTAAAGACACTTGTGCTATGTGCCATTGACTAGTAAATTTTTACATCATAAGTAATGTATAAGTAAGAAGGATATATTTAATATTATCATTTTAAAGGTATAAAAATTTTTCATTTTATGTATAAAGCTGCTATAATTTGAAGGTAAGCTATGATTTGAAGTCTTTTTGTAAAG